GTGGTTGGTGACAGGGGTGGGAGATGGGATTTAGAGATGGAAGGTTTTAATTATCAACTGTTCTTTAAGGAAAAACCCTGTTATTTATTTTGTTAACTTGAAGCACTGAATGTATTATAACATTAGAATATAAACAACTGTTGAAGTGTAATTCGCTATAACCAATCAAAAGAAGCTGTAGGGAACGTGTGCTGATGTTTAAACGGATGCCACGTCAACCCGAAGACTTGAGCACAATATTAAATATCTACAGCGAGGCAGAAGGTCATTTATGAGTTGGATTTATTCTTCTTCACCAGAAATCCCCAAGAAAGTAAGTACTCGCACAAAAGTTCTTTCACAGAGATTTTCTGACTAAGTTTTTATCTTTTAAAGGACAGATCCTTGATGCACTGTTTTCATCTGCAGAACAATATCAAATGGAAATTCAGTTTTTGTCACTTTTCTCAGTTGTCTGCTAAATCCTGCTGCCTGAAATGTCATCTGTTGTTGGGGGTTTAGTGCGAGAGGTTTTTGTTCAGGCTGCTTTGTGCCGTTATCTGCTCTTTCAGGGCAACTCCATTATGGGTTTTAGGACTGTAATTACTTTACTCTCATTGTTTGCTTTGTCTGTTCAGTGTCACTGTGTTGCAGCACTTGGGTGAAGAGCACTTTAAAAAAATCTGAATTGCTTTTTAGTTTCTATAACTTTGCGGTTGTGTTCTTTTTTTTTTCCCAAAACAAATTATATTTTGGGGGAGGTAGAAATAATCACAAGTTGGAATAAGTCTAAGAGCATATCCAGACACTAATAAAACTTTCCCAGTGTTGCTTGTGGTTGTAAACAATCAAGATGGTCACCAGACACAAAAAAAATAATGTAGTTAATTATTAAGACTAGGACCACATCATTAAATAACATGAGGATAATTACTAAAGCCATCACTGTGAGGACCAATTTTCTCTTTTTGCATGTGGAGTTCAGAAGAGGGTCACACTCAATGAAAAGAAGTCACTTTATTTACACAATACAAAATGTTTTTCCGCCGTCTTCTTGTCTCCTCTGTCTCTTTTTCAAAAGCTCAAGTCCGCTGACCAAGCCTACCCGCCCTACCGGGGTTTTTTTGGAGGGTTGTCATACCTGAGGGGGAGAGGACGCCATTGACTCCGCCTCCCAGGGCTAGCTCCTCCTTGGTTTTAAGAGCCAGCAGTTGGTCGGCGGTGACTACGGCCGAGGCGGCGAACTGAGCGCTGGCCTGGTCTAACGTATTTCCCAGGCCCTGTTGGAGGTGAGGAGAACTGTTTAAAGTCACTGGAGAGACGACCACATTCACTTTGTGTCGGAGAGCCTGAAGGGACTGTGGGATACTGACGTGTGTGCTGTTTGCAGTGGTGGAGCTGTTGGCTTGCTGTTGCAGCTGGACCTGCTCCAGCTGCTGTTTCTGCATCAGGGCCAGCTGCTCCTGATGCTGCTGGTACTGTTCGGCTGTGAAAGCTGAGAGAGACAAGAGTTCGTCACAAGTCTGGAAATAGATTCGTACCATCATTTACATGTTTAAAGTCACACACGGGGTTTCTAATAACCAAATCCACCAAGGAGTTCCAGTCAATCACACTGTGTCTGTGTACGTGGGCTCCACCTCTGTGTGTGCTGAGACATGGCCCTTAAATACAGCAGCTATTTCTGGCTCTTATTGTTAAGACTGCTCGGCCACACCTGCTGTAGCCTCTTGCAAAGTGTCTACCCAGTGACATCAGCTCCACATGAGGTTGTTTTAAAGCCACCACGTCTTCCACTTCACCCATTTCTCTTAAGAGTATCCAACGACAATATCAACATCCTTTCTCGTCTAACACTGTCAAATCTTTAAGACTATTGGTGGTTCAATGGCTGTGTGCCTGCCCAATAATGCAGACACATTACTTTAATCAACCCACACCCACTCAGTGCTGCATTCACTGATAAAGCAGCCGCTGAGAAAAGAGAAACTACGACCAAGTTCTCATTCATCCATGGTGAGGTCTGAAAGCTCAATCTGTTCCTTTACCATAAACACTTGAGTGCTGACGAACGTTACAATCGGAGTTCCTACCATACGCTGTGCAGTCTGAGAATCAGAGCAAAGAGCTTGTAGTCTGCGCCACCTGTTAGCACTAATATAAAACACTAGTGTCATCAAGTCTGCACTCCACTGGGAATGAGTGAGTGCGTTGGGACGAGACAGGACAGATGCTCCGGGTGCTTCATCAAGTCATAGTGGTGCTTGTCAACTGGTGTGTTTACTTGCACATCAGTAACCAGGTTACTTCACTTTCAGCTTCAATAATACACTTTTTTTAAACCAAAGCTGGAATAATTTACTTCGTAGGGAAGAAATCTGTTTCTTTGACAGCAAGTCAAAGCAGTTTCCTGCCATAACCTGGTTTCTCTCAGACGTCTGGTTTCTTGTGTGCATGTTTCTGTCCACTCAAGGTCCCATCCCAGCTATTCATCCTGTAAATAACATGGTCTTCAGTCTTTCTTTACTGGCTTTCTATTGATTAGACAGTGCTATTCCCACATTTCAAAGTGTTGCGTGGCCTTGTGCCTCCGAGCGATATTGATTTTCTTATTCCCTGTGAGCCTTTCAGTTTACTACTTCACAAGACGCAGGACTGTCCGGCACTCATTTGAAAACCGCTCGCGCTCCCATCTGGAACACGGGTCATGCTTATTTCGTGCAATCTGACACCGTCACATTTAATCAAAATACTGCACCCATTAATTACAACCTAGCTTTACGGCCGCTCTCTGCAGACTCAACCCAGCTGTGCAGAGAGTACAGCTGCACTAAAACCTACAGGATGTCCTGCTGTCCTGGGGGCAATAAAAAAAGCACCTGGGACACTAAAATACAACATCTGGGACAGTAGAGAAATATATAATTACAAATGAAATTACTACATTTATGTGAATATATATCATTTTGATTGTTAGGCGTTCACTGGCACATCATATGCACCCGCACACACAAAACCAGTAAAGAGAGAGTCAGTGATCTGGTGACTCGTGCTAGAGATTAATTCATTCACGCTGCTCAGAGTAATCGCAGTCCACCGGGGTCTCGTCCTCTCCTTTGGCCACATTCTCCACATCTCTGGATTAGGAGGTTCCTGTTGCTTAGCCTATAGCTAAATAGTTTGTTTGAGCTTGTAAATATCTCCATTAATTTGGTCTTCTCCCTCCCGTTGTAGATTTGTATTTCAATTTCAGTGAGTTTGTGATAATTTGGCTAAATAAGTGTGTAACCAGACACAGGTTCACATTGGCACTGAACTTTGCAGTGATGCATTTATTGATCAAACAGAAATAACTAAGCAACTTTAACTCAACCGATGACTAAAAGAACAGAGATATAAGTGCAAGGAACAACCAGCAGACCAGAGTGAGTCAATGAAGTGATGAGACTTACTGAAACAAAGATATTAAACTATTCTTATTAAGTAGAATGAAAAAAATACTTAAATTTGGGACAATGGTTGTTAAGTGTGGCACAGTTGTGGGACCCTGGACAACTGTAGTGGTGGAGCTCTCTTGTTGATTACATCGGTGTCCTTCACTTTTATTTACGGCACTTCACAGGCAGATTGGTTTTTCAAGAATAAATCACTAGACAATTGATTGCATGCAAATCAAAAATCATACACAACTCCTGTAAACTGCTTGTAGCGACGTCAAGACACCAACCGCCTGACTGCTACCACAGTAACACCACCGGGGACCTGTGGCATTTAGTTTGTATTCAACGCTCCACGCCTCTGTGCCCACACACCCCAACAAATCCTGTGCATCTCATGAATTTATTTATCAACCCCAGTCTTAATTGACACCTTGTGGGACTGGGTGGGATGGGAGGTGACACAGTGTGAATGCCAAGCAACAGCTGTAAATGATGAACAACAAGAAAACAAAAGCCCTTTCACAATGCAGCTGGAGGACAGGGTCAACAACGGTCCTGCAATTAAATAAAATCTAAACTAAGAAGTAATGATCACCAAAAAAGAGCTCAACAAAGAGAGAAGAATATATATATATATATATATATATAGAGGGGTGAAAGGAAAAAGGAAAGGAGTGTTCATCCTGAGTTTCTTGGATAGTTGCCAATTACTTCTCTGAACTAGCACACCTCTTTTAAAGAGTCCGTTCAACCAAAACACACAGATACTTTCTGCTTCACGTGCCCAGGTTTTAACAGATCCTCTACAACACAATCAGGTGGAGACTGAACTCCATTTAAGCTGCAAGTATTCAAGAAATATATTTCAAAAACTCAACAGAAGTCTTTCCATCCTTCTTACATGGAGGCTACTTTTACAGAGTAATTGTTGGGACAGTTTCTGGGAAAAGAGACACTGCTCGCGAATCTTTCAAATTCATTTTTCAAGGTTTTTCTCTGCACAAAAATGTTTGTATTCACCTCCAGTATAGAGCGCTGACAGCAGAAAATTCAGAAGCAGTTATCTCAGCTCTTGGGCAAATAAAACCCAAACTGTGTGCATGGGTAAATACCGCTAGGGCTGAGGAATTACATGTTTTTAGTAAAAGTGTTGCTAGTGGCGGGTACATATCCTGTTTTTAATAATATATTTCCGTAATTAAACAAGTGACTCATCATCAACCACCCCAAACTGCCATCAGCGCAAACTGTTTGTGTCTGAAGGAAGACGATACACTTACCAGCAACGGGTGCGGGTACAGGGACAACCCTCGCCGGGCGTTGAGAGCCGTAGGGCTGTCCCCCTGCTGCGGAGGCCAAGACAGGCCGCTTCAGGCCTCGACTCAACTTCCTGAATAGCGGGTGGGCATTGTCCAGCTCATGTAGTGGTAGTGTCCGTGGTCTAAAGTGCCTCCATCGGCACGACTTTATATTCAACAGTATCTGACTGAGGTCCGTGGAAGAGGGAGAGGAAAGAGAGGAGTTGAAGGAGGAGGAACTTCTGTCTGAGGTATTTGTTTCTGAGGTACTGGCAAACTTGTCGGCGGCCGGCGAGCGTGAAGTAGTAGTAGGAGGAGGAGAAGGAGAGGGGGGAAGAGGCAGGTCGAGCATGTCTGTATCCAGTCCGTGGAAAATGTTGTCATAGTCCGTGTACGCCCTGTCCAGCAACACCCTGCGAGAGGAGAGGAGAGGAGGAGGAGGAGGAGGAGGAGGTCAGGTACAGTGCTTGGACACCGGGACAGTAAACACATAACGGGCCTCGCTGACATTTAACAGCTTCGATCTTTATGTATCAAAGCCTTCTTATTATAGTTTTTGATACTGCAGTAAATAAGAAAACTAAAGTAGCCCATTCCTTGTCACCAAAGAAACGTCTACAGCTACTATGTTTGTACCATTGCCAGTAAGACTTTGAATCACCTTCTATACAGTAACACAACGATGAGTGTGTGCCCTAAAAACAAAAATGCAATTCTCAGAAACAGGATTCTTAGACTGACCTGCCGCCTCGTCCCACGCGTCGTCGAGCCATGCCGAGGCAGCGCCGCGGCACGGTGAGCGTGGTGAGACTGTAGCGAAACCGAGCTTCTGCCAAACCGTCCTCCCAGGGTCCACACCATGGCCAGCTACCCACACGATCCTGATGAGCCTGGGAACAGACAGGATGCTCAACGTCACCTCGTTGCATTCTTATCGTCGGATCTTTACGATCTGTGACTGGTTGTTTTTTTGTTTTATTTCATTAAAGCAGTCTACTGTGGACTATGAACTAAATGCCTTAAATATTGAGATAATCCTAAAGTCTGTAAAGTAAACAGTCCGCTATAAACAGAGTTCTAAAAACCATAAAAACCTGCTGCACAGACTTTCAATCAGTGCTCCCGAAGAGCATTTAAAAGCATCTACAACCACTGCTGGGCCACTTAAACCAACCACTGTATGAACGTAAAGCTCCAATATGCTTTTTTTTTAATACCAACTGTGTGGATGAACACAGTACTTACAGCGTAGTACTGGCAGCCTGCCTTCCTACGAAAGGCATAGGCACCATCTGGGTCGTTCTCCTCCTCTGCTTCCGAGGAGCCCGAGTGCAGCTGTGGACACAGAGGTTGGAGGTCAGTAAGGTCACTGGAAGAGCAGAATTTAGAAACACTGGAGCCAAGGGGTTCTGGTTAAAATGCATATCCTACCCACTCGTATCACGTGGTGGTGCAACTTTGAGTGGATTTATCAGGACAAAGGGCAGAGTGCATTGCCTTTAAAATCACTAACAGTGGAAGTACGGACAGAGTTGGGAGTTTGTTGCCGTGTTTTAAACTTGACAAGACAATAAATCACTCTTTAAAACAAATGTGTTCAAGGGAGAGTCAGAATACACAACCACACAGAGTTTTATTTTACTCATTTCACATCCACTCATCTGTTTTAGGCAAACATTGTATGCCATTTTTCATAGTTCCCTATAATTTTTGTGGCTAGTTGCACTTTTCGGTTTCTACTTAGTGGTAAAAAAAAAAAAAAAAAAACCCTAACATTTGCATGAGCTTATCCTGAATTCTATAAACGGACTTATTTCAGCACACAAACTCAGAGGCCAACTGACTAATGTGTGCAGCGTTTGATGGTCTCCCTGTTGTTCAAAAACCTTACCTGTCCAGCAAGTTCTTTGAGCTTGGCAGTCAACAAATCTTATCAGGACATACTAGCTGTTGCCACTTTGAAAGCATAATATCAGAATCACGTTCACTTGAACACATCCAGCAAAAACATCTACAAGCGCCGTGCTTCGTCTGCACAGCGTGCTTGGCTTTGCATGGATAAGTGCCCGCGTTTTACCTGGGAGAAGGGCTCGTCATCCGAGCTGGGGAAGTCGTACTGGTTGAGGTCCTTGGCGTTGAAGACGACAGGACCCGCGTGGTGGGGGATGCCCGACGAGAGAGGCAACACCTTCTGCTTCTTCTCGTAGCTCCTCTTCTGCCGGGGAACCTCCGTCTTCTCGGGCTGAAGGGAGGAAACAAGAGGTAACTCATGAGACACAATCAGAGACTTCCCACTATTTTGAATCTTACACGCAGCTTCCCAATATTCCTTATTTAAAATGTGACTTGATGATGTGATTATTTTTATTCTGTGGATAATTAACTCTTTCTAATCAGAAATCTTACATTTCCAACTTTACAGTTCATGTCCTTAACATTGAGCCTCACCTTAGACTTATAGTCCTTGAGATCCATGTGGTCCTGGTGTCGGTACTGGTTGGTGAGGGGGACCAGCGGAATGATCTGCGGCCTCACCAGCGCCCGCTCAGCCAAAACCTCTGCCATCACCTCACCACCAAAGTCTGACATTACATTTCTGGAAAAGAAAAAGGGAAAAAAGGATAAGCCCAAATAGTTTTTCTCCAATCAGAGTCTTGGACTGATCAACAAACCATTTCATTTTCCATTTCAAGTTTTCCCCCTTAAACTACATCAATGAAAGTTCACAAACAGTGATAAATTCCCCACAAATGGAGGGGAAACTTGGCTTTAACTGTTCTTTTATCTTTTATTCCAGTTTTTAAACTCTGAGCACTCTCCCGGCGCTTTCTTTTTTTATCATCGCCCTGCTGTCTCCACCCTGCCAGCCTGCTGTCTAACTGCTTTTTGTTTTATTTCTGTACTAACACATTATGTGTACAGCCCCAGAGGCAGGCTCACCTCTTCTCAAAGATCTCCAGTGTGAGATGCAGCAGCTCTCTCTTGCTCTTCTCCCTCCTCTTGATCATTTCCAGGATGGTGACGGCTCTGCTGAGATCCCTGCGCAACTTCAGCATCTTCTCATAGGACGCCTCGTCATTCTTACGGTTCTGAGTGTCGCAGGAAGAAAGGGGTATAAGCAACACTTAATAACAAGCAACATATAATGCTTAGATAAACATATATAAAGTTATTTGGATCAAAGCAAACAGGTTACTAAAGATAATAAAGTTAATATAAAGGCTAAATTCTTTAAATGACCACTTGGTGGCATATACATCCTTTACAAGAGGGTTGAGAGAAAACTATTTCATGCAGTCTGTTTTTGCATTGTGTTCAGCAGCGTAGTGCCACTAATTTAATAAAAGAATCAATGTACATTAATTTAAAATCTATTCTTAAGAGGTGCTGTGTTTCTCAGACTATCTGGTCACTTTGGTGGGTTTGGAAGGTGCTTTTATCGGACTCTGATCTCTGGTCCATCATGGCATTATTAAACAGTAACAGACTTGAATTGTATATAGATTCAAACATCTGTGATCGGGGACTTAAGTCTCGTTCTAAATGAACCGTAAGCACCTTCATCAATCACCATTTCACAGAAGCTCAGCTTGCCGAGCAGTAAGCAGACCAAATCTCACACTTCACCCTTTTAAATTCAGACCGCAGCTGTCTGACACAAAGCTATGTGCCGACACAACACACCAAGTAAAGTAAGACGCTGCTCATTGAACGCGGTTGCAGCGTCTGACAGCATTCTTCTTTTTGTCGGCCCGTCAAGAGTCTATTCTCTCTACATCACAGGTTAGTCAGGTACGGTGTTTACAAAACGGCAAACCGGATCAAGATAATCTGGTCAAGCTTCACAAAAGACAGTGGCACAGTGAAATGTAATGACTGTGTGAAAATTATTTCACACAAGGAGAAGTGCATCTCGCATGACAGAATGTTTCTTGCAACAAGGTATGAGAATGCGGTTCTTCGTGCCTAATGGCAGTCACACAACTACTGGTGGCATATCCAACAATACAACAGTTAGAAGAAGCTACACAGGTAACCTGTTTTTCAGAAATCCACCAACCGACAGAGGGATGTATCCGTCATGAACTGCCAGGATCACAGCCACGTACAAACAGCCAATAAAGCAGAGTGCAAAGACACCAACCTTCCTGGTTTGCATCTTCTCGGTGCGCCGTCGGAAGGCCACATAGGGGTCACTGGTGCTGGAGCCGTCCCGTTTTTCCTGCTTAACGGTCGGGATGAGAGAGTTGGCCTTGCTGTTTTTCCTCTTGCGGCTCCAGTAGTCAAAGACCTCCTTGATGAGCTCGTCGTCCTCCTTCAGCAGCAGTTTGGCCTCAGGGAGGCTCACCAGCTACGAAGTACAGACAGAGGTTACAATTTGATAAATAAGATGCGTTCACGCGGCGGTGGGGGTGACAAATCTGTTATGACAGGCTTTTTTTGCTCAGACTGTCTTACCATAAATGGTTTCAAATTTGTGTTACCAACTATTTAATGTAGGTATCACCATTTTTCAAAAGCTCATTGTGCATAGGTCTGTAAGGTATTTCATGGCCTTTCTCTACGGCTGGCATTGTTTTGGGGGCAGATGGAGACACAAACAGTGCCGACCTGCTGTCCACTGCCTTTCTCCAGCCGGTCAATCATCTCCTCAAACTGCAGGAAGCTGATCTCCATCTTCTTTTTCAGCTTGTTGACAAACGCATCGTCGTCCGAGTCCAGGTCGTAGTCGGGCTGCTCTGTGTCCAAGCTGAAAGCTGCAGGGAGGTCGAGAAAGGGAAACTTTAGACACGGAGAGATAGTCTATACGGATTTACTAACGTCAAAACAAAAAGCTAATAAAAGGGATCAATAAAATACTCAAACACTGGCCCATTCAACATGTCTTTTCTTAAATACAGCTTGTGTCCTTCTGGCCGTTTGTGTGTTGCTTCTTTAAATAATCGCTCTACCCCTCGTTGTTTTTTACTTTTTGGTTTAATGTTCTCACTTCTTCTTCCTCCCTGCCCTCTTGTAATTCCCCATATTTTAGATACGCATTTCGTGAATAGTGCCCTCAGTGTCTGAACACTGTTCCAACACACGCGTTTTAGCTTATCAAACGGATCACGGATACTGCGCCCTGTGTGGGGAAATGTACATTTGTAGTCCCAGAGCATGGATCCATTCAATGGGATGTCTAGTGAGTGTGAGGAATCAGGAAGAATAAACATAATGTGAAGGGGTTTAATGCACACGTTGAGAACTACTCAGGCTATCCTCGGCAGTTAAAGCAACTTAGGAAACTTTTTGACTTGTAACTTCAAAGCGATCCAGTGAACATGACCTCTCTACTCAGACTGCACAGCAAGCTGCAGCCAAAAGTCAAAATTCAGCTTAATTGGCCTGGTAATGACGGGAGGCACCGCATGCAGCATTACAAATCATTATCTAGTCCGTTCCCAGCCAAGTTTACTTAATGGCACTGCTGAACAATCGCTCTGAAACACCAAACGCACACTTCTTCATTATGGAGATGCAGCATCGCACACCAAAAACCGACTTCAATCCCTTCGAGTTACAGAAGAACGAGAGAGAAATGATTTCTGTGTGCGGGCAACAGCAGCAATCCAGTTAGACTCAAGAAAGAGACGGGTCCTGACAGGTAATGACAGGTTGTGTGTCTGGTATACACAAATGGTTGCTCGGCTCGGCTGTCAAGGCCACTCTATACCCGCAAGTGTATTTCAGTTTGTTTACTTCCAAGTCCCACAGCCGATGTACAAACGAGAAGTATGCAGAACATCCTCTGCTCTGTAACACGGCGCCCACCACAGAGGCAAGGTTACCTCCTACACGGCGGTCCAAAGCTACAATACATCATTTAATGATTAAGTATTTTAATGACGGCTAAGATCAAAATTCAACCCGACACATGAAAAAAAAAAGAAAATCCTACAACGAAATGAAGTCTAAGCATAACATTTCAACATTTAACTGCTAGACTGCTCACGTATACGGACTTAACTAAACCGTCCCTCTATTACACCACACGATGACGAGAGAGCGGTTTTGGCGAGAAGAATAAAAACCAGAGTTGGATCCGTCTGCGAACACAAAAGAAAACGGCTCTGATCAAAACAGAAGCAGCGGCTGCAGTCAGTAAGTGACAGCTCAGAAAGCGTTTCTCTAGAACGCCGAACAAATGATGAAAACTAATGCAGTGGAACAGTGGAGGACAGGAGAGGCAACGTTAGCAGCCATATTAATACAGACCATGTTAAAACAACGACAAGAATCTGAGCGCCCAGCAGACTGCGAGAGTATCCAAAGTGAAAACGGAGCATATCCTCAAATGTATAACCTCATTTAAACTTGATGCAGCTACTTTCGACAGAAGATATAACCCTACAGGACTAATAACCCACATTAACTGCAATAAACACACGCTTTTAGAGGACAGCTCACCCAGCATCTGTTGGATCTTTAGGTTAGGGACACATTAGATGATTATCAGGCCTAATTACAGCAGATCTGCCCTTCCAGACAACTGGACTCGGTACATTCAGTCACGTCCAACCTCAGTAACTCACTGACCTGACACTTTATCAGACAGTTTAATGGAGTCTGCATTTATGTGTACATGAAAGCTAAATAATGAACACCGAATACTTCTGCAGGTCAAAGATACATCAGTATAATTTTAGATGAAGCAGAAAAATGTGACTCTCTGCCCTTTCCTAATGGTCCAGTGTGAGCGTGTTTCTGACTCGAGAGACCAAATAAAACTCAATAAAAGCTCCCCACTCACTTTTGGTTTAGCTTTTCAAGACTTCTACTTTGTCTCAAGCCTCAGTGACCGGTCAGACTGCCGTGTCAAACCATGTCAGGCTAATTCAAATGCAGAAACGCTTTCTCGTTTTCCTTTCTGCTGCCAAACTCACAGCCAGCGGCAAGTTCATGTTTTAATTCAGCAGCAAGAAGAGCCGCCACATCTGCTGAAATCAAATTAACCTGGCCTCCATCAGACATGCACAGCTTCTGCACTCAACATTTAGAGAGCAAACGATGTACGGACGCATACGAAGTATTTGCCGCTTTATCTTTAGAAACGATACCTCAGTCCAGGTTTAATTAAAGCGAATCACTTTCAGATTGAGCTGCCATCAAGGCGAGACTGGGTACGGCAGATGGATGTGTTATTGACAAAAAACAAAACAGAAAGCTCACCAGGGAAATTCTATAAGATTAAGGCGAGTTTTCACATTTTAAACCTCAATATTCTTGCGCAGAGACTCGTTTCTTCACTGGATTTACAGATTTTTGCGTAAAGCAACTCACAACTAAACGACAGACAACTCGTAGTTACATTTCTTTAGATATTACAAACACACACTAAACCATCCGGTCCTGAAGATCTCCACACGTTTCAGACTGTCTGGACCTCTGAGGAAACCCTGAAATTAGTCCGACAGCAATCTGACAGGACGAAACATTTGTCATTTGAGCTTTCAACTGATAGCAGCGTCTCTGTTTAGGGTACGGCAAATTGCTTTCCTTTGAGAAACAATCACGGCAACCACTTGTGACACAGACATGGTTACTGAACTAAGCAATCTCACAAACTCATTTACTTTGACAAACATATGACAACTCATAACACACACACACACACACGCCTGATGCCATTACATGGATGAAGAGCTGTCAGAAACAGACCTCCTGTTCCACCTATGAGCTTCTGAGTCACTTAATGGATTCAACGCTTTATCGGCTTTTTACGCAGCCGACTTCGCCAAGTTCCCATAGCCAGGAAACATCTTGATTACCCGCCTCACTTTTAATGCCACATGGGTTTAAATGCAATTTCAGACAACCTTTTCTCCAGTTATGAGCGTTCTGTTGGAGACTACTGTAAGCCTGAGCGTGATGTAATGAGATAATACGAGCCTAAAGTGGAGTTTACAAATGGAAAAAAGGTACACTAATGTGGAATATTCTACAAATTGACACTTAAACTTGATCAACAGTCCCCACGTGTCATTTAATGCATTCAAAATAACTGAAGTAACAACCCAATAAACAACCAACTCATTCTCTCTGCTTTCCGCATCACATTTGCCATTAGAGAAGCCCACTTACGCTGTATGTGAATTAGCTGCTTTGGCATCTTGTATTCCCCAGGGTAGAGGGATTCGTAGTACGTGATGTTGCTCTCTGCCTCGGGGACCGGGATGACCATGTTGTCCCGCTTCTCGCCGTATACCTGCTGCGCCGAGATGGCCCGCTGGAGATGGTGTTCCTACGGAGAGAAAGACAGGAGGTGAGACAGCTGGACCGCTGAGGATGGACGTCGTCTTACTAGAGATTATATTAAAAAAAAAAACTGGGGCTGAGTATCATTATTTAAAAACACAGAGGTCTTGAAACCATCAAGCTCATATGAAGCTAGCATAATGGATTTAAAATTTTAAAAAAAATCTGGCCACACGGCTCAAAGAAAAACTGATATCAAGGCAAAAAAAAAAAAAAAGTTTAGAGACGATGTGAGATGGCAAAATCCACCAAAGAGCACCGACAGGTTTATTTTCAACTGTTAAATGTTTAGTAACTGTTTAGTATGCCTCTTGGTCACAATAAAAAAAGTTGTTTATTTATGCGTTTGTTAAAAAGAAATATTCCCTATATCAGATTTTAATCTTTTAGTTCCCTCGACTCGATATCAGCCTCAAACCTGCAGCACACACCGGGCTGTGTGCAGATATGACTGGGTGTTACTAGTCAGCTAAAAGCCACACGACTGAACGAGCAAGTGATTTTAAAGCATGAATGAAAAAGCTGATGCTAATCAGCGAGCATGGCTGAACTAATGCTAAGCTTCATTTATCCGCTGCTGCAGTTTGATTTGGTTCAAACAGACATAAAAGTCTACCGATTATTCTTCAACGGATACCTGTTTATATTCCAGTTGTTCTACAGTGACAGCCAACCCTAACCTGTATGACATTTAACTCTGATGCCACAATATCCACAGTCAGAGTTTAGTAAACACTGAACAGCTTTGGTACTTCAAAAAGCAACAGCCGAATCTTTAAAGAAAAAAGAAAAAGGGGCTGAAACGAACGACACAATCCAAGAAAACTATTCAAACAGGGCACAACTTAGGACCTATTTGTGAAGCAACTGCGACAACACGTTGCCAAACTGACAACATAATATCAAGCCTTTGTTCTGCTGAGGAATAACACGCTGACTCATGCAGATACAAGTTAAATGTACACCTGCAAAACAGAGTTGTGGGAGGAAATCTTGACGATTATCCAGTCACACATTGTCTTACTGTCTGGCTGCCAAACGTTTCCCAGTGTATGAAAAAAAAAAAAAAAACAGCCTTTACAGGACGACAAACGACACTGCCAGGTGAAAACAGAACCAACACATTTAATGCCAATCCACACTGCCAGACACGTAGCTTTGAATATTTAATCTTCTGTTTAAAAATAAACACACACGCATTCACAAAGCTCGTGGTTTATATACGTGAATCATTTTAATGGTTATAAAATCATCAACAGGGTATAGGATGATACGTAAACGCTGGACGGAGACAAATCCGAACCTGCCATCCCATCACCACCATCAAATGAGGGAAACTTGACTCTGTTTTTGTCTCCGACGCTGTGTCAGTTGGCCTTATCTACCCGCCGCCGAGTGCGACGAGAGCCTGCCGCTGCCAAGCCTGCGGAGGGTAATGTGCCTGAAGGAAGGCAGACAGGCTGGACGGGCTGACTAACTGGTTTGCTGGCGGGCTGCTCGTCTGAACCGTCCCAGTCAGACGTAGTAGCAGAGCCTTTGGCCTCGAGCCGGGCGCTGAGCCACTGGCAGGCGGCCTGTCAACAGTGCAGCGTGCTGCCGGCCTCGTACAGCCGCTCTCTGGGGGGAAGGTGTGTGTTTGTTGTTTTCCCTGCGGCCGTCAGAGACACAAGGGTAGAGGACGCGGTGGAGGGAGAGAATATCTGTGCCTGGGGATGGTAGAGAGTGAGTGAATGAGTCAAAAAGGCAGCGAGTGTGGGCGTTAATACAACAGAACAACCCGTCTGTTATGGTTCAAAACAACCACTGTAAGTCAGCCTGGGCTCAGTCACTGGTGTGTAACGAACAAACCTTAAAGAGGATCCACTTTAGCAGTTTATCCTCTTAAAATAAAACAGCTGAAGTGAGCATTTACACTGCATATATAATGTATAACAATATGATCTACCGGCTACGTCTGCATCTGTCCAACACGGTCAGCTCTGCGTGCGACCAGCCAGCTTTTTTTAAATGACTTCTAAAATGAGGATTCACTGCAACAGTACACTGAATTCACAAGCAGGATTGGGAAAGTACGTGTGATTTAATATATCATACTTTATCAGACGAACCATATTTATATAAAATACCAACGCGGGCCTGTCAGTGTTTGGATAGTCCGATGAGTTAGAAAGAGATTATGGTGCCTCATTACGTTTATGCCAAACACCCTGTGAATTTAACAAAAAAAACACATTTGTATGAAATGACAAAACCACTGCTTCAACATTTATATAAGCTGGTTTTATAGGTCGTTTTACAGCTTAGTGCTTAACGTCAGCTGTTTTAATTCAAGCTTCTCCTGGCACACGACTGCTTGAAGGTTTGACGGCTTATTATACCGGCAACATAAGTCAAGTAAAACTGAAGTTGACCGCTGCTGAACACGGTCTTTAATTTGTGCCTTTAGAAGAATAAAAACAGCACAAACTGCAGAGCTTTTCAACGCTACAAGCTTTTCTACCAGAGGGTCCTTGACACAGAGACCTTGCAGGCACAAAGCAGCGTTTCCATCTTGTTTATAGCCATGTATCATTTCATAAAGTAACACTGCATTCAGACTAGAAAAGCAGCTTTTCCATCGACCAACCAAGACTGAATGATGTGGCCAAATCCTGACAATCACTCCAAACGTAATGTTTCCTAAACAACTTGAAGGAAGGAGGTAATGCTCATTAAATAAAAACAGCACGAGAACACACACATTATTAAATCAGAGTCCAGTTTGTGAAAAGTCTCATTTCTGAAAGGTTTTAATGAGCGTTGGTTACTGACAACAAACGTATCACAGCACGCACTTCACCACAATATGAAAACACTGCAGTACTGCCACAAAGTTAACTTTATTACGTATACCATCGTGTTTAACATTTTCAGTCTGCTTCATTGTGTCCCAGAGCGCTTTTGTTCATCAACACCATTTGGACTTTTGGGGCTAACGACGTGCAGTCTGTTATACCCGAGGCGAGTGACAGTAATTTACATTTACAGCGCCACGTGCTCCGGCGACGCAGCTACTCCCTTAGTTTAAGAAGTCGCTGTGGACGAGCGTCGTCTGTTTTATTCCCAGCGTTCCCCCTTAAGGTGTCTGCATACACAACTCTAAACTCGTACACATTTAACCAACTCAAAGCATTTCCCGCGACCTCCCACTGTGCATGTACTCTTGCATAACCTTCATATTCCTATCCGATTCCCACTGAACGCCCGAACCCCACTTGCATCAACTTCTCCGGGCGTCTCCGCAATAAAGGAGGGAGGAGGGGGGCTCCTGAAATCAAACAGCCTTTAGCAAAAACACGTTGGTTGCCAAACCTAATCAAGCAACGTGTTTGTTTACTTCCCTGGCGGTGGCTATTTGCCCGAGAATAAATGGACTTAGATTGAGGAGAACAGTCAGAATACAGAGCGATAGCTGCATTACCCTCACACACTTCTTTTTTCTCCTCTTGGTCTCGCTTTCTCACACACACACACACACGAGTCCAGAAATAGCCTTCTAAAATGACCACATCGATCACTGTCACGTCTGCCGAGGCAGCCGGAGCCGCCTCCACCCGTCTCGCCGCTGACAGCTACTGTCCCAGACACTGTAAATGCCACTTCACATGATGGACAGACGCAGGGGACGGTCGGGTTGGGCTGTCGAGGGATGCGTAGCTACGGTGTCCTGTGTGGGATTCTTAACACCCAGCGTAAGAGCGGTGGGGAATTCACGGCAACAGAATTAATGTAGCCGGTAAAATAACATACAAGCAACTGTCTGTGAGGCAAAAATACATTCCTTATAACTTTAATGTAGCCCATTAATGATGCATAATGATTAAGTGGAAGCAATTAATCACAATCAGGGAACAACCCTCCACGGGTTAAATGGAAAACGCCTGAATTCACAGTCATCTTAGAAGTTGCTCTAGCAGAGCTTGTCTAGCTGGCAAAGTCGCTATGAGAATTGAGCAAGGAACCTGCCTTGGGCTGTGTTTAATTTCGCACGGCTAACCCCAACACACACACACACAACACACACACACACACACACACACACACGTCACAGCGAAACTGTCAACAGTAATAGAGGAGGGGGAAAAAATAGGGAAACAGCTGACAAAGGCAACTTTCAATTTCAGGCTGTAGAGACTTCGGACAGGTGACATGCCCCACATTCCCCACCAGCAAGGTCACAGTGAGAAACTGGTTGCCTGCCAGAGTGTGTGTGTGTGTGT